TCAAGACGAGATGGAAGAACCAACCGCAGACGTTCAAGTGATTGACGAGCTGGAGGAACCAATCGACGTTCAAGTTGTTGACGAGGAGGAGGAACCAACCGGCGCGCTCCCTTCGCAACCAGAACGTGACAACTGCTCGGCAGAAGTGCTCACGAGGCATAGCGGTCGGGAGCGCAGAATTCCCGGTAAGTTCCTTGATTTCATTACCAGCTTTGGGACGAGTTCTGCCGATCAAAGTTTTGCAGGTGCTACCGAGACCATTGATGATTCCGTGATGGCGTATGCACTTAGTGCAGAGGCGTACGTGGACAACCTACCTTCGACAATAGCTGGACTGAAGGAGCGAAGCGACTGGTCGGACTGGAAAGATGCCATAGACAGCGAGCTTGACTCATTGCGGAAGAACGGAACATGGGAGCTAGTGCCGAAACCACCAGGCAAGAATATCATCGACAGCAAGTGTGTTTTCAAAGTCAAACGTGATGAAGCTGGAAACGTGGATCGATTCAAGGCACGCCTCGTAGCGAAGGGCTATTCTCAAAGGAAAGGATTCGACTATAATGAAACATATGCTCCTGTGGCGAAGATTACTACTGTTCGGGTGTTGCTTGCAGTGGCGAATCAGGCGCAGTACCATGTGCACCAGATGGATGTGAAGACGGCATTCCTGAACGGCCTGCTGAAGGAAGACATCTATATGCGTCAACCTGAAGGACTGCAGAGCGACAATCCTCAACTAGTATGCCATTTGAAGAAGTCGTTATACGGGTTAAAGCAAGCTCCGAGGAGTTGGAACGAACAGTTCAATTCGTATGTACTGAAGCTCGGATTTCGACGATCAAAATTGGATAGCTGTTTGTATTGGAAGCGACAAGAAAAGACTGTAATGTACATACTATTGTACGTGGATGACATCATCATTGTCTCGAACTCACTGGATTCTGTAGCAGAAATCAAAACGATGTTGACCAAGAATTTCGAAATGACGGACATGGGTGAACTGAAACACTATCTGGGGTTGAAGGTCGAACGAAATTTCAAGACTGGAAGAATGAAGATCAGCCAACCGAAATACATTGCAGACATGTTGAGAAGATTTGGTATGGGGGATTGTAACCCCGTTAGTACCCCAATGGACCCGAATTTGAAGCTGGACACCAACAAGGATGACAACCCAACAACACACCCGTATCGCGAATTGATTGGATGTCTGACCTACTTGACGATATCATCAAGGCCGGACATAAGCGCAGCTGTAAGTTATTTCAGCAGATTTCAAGCTTTCCCTACTGACACCCATTGGAACCACCTGAAACGACTGCTGCGCTACATGAAAGGGACGATCAATTTTGGTTTAGTCTATCAGCGACGAGAAGATGCGATTCCTTTGAAGGGTTATGCCGATGCCGACTGGGGCAATGATCGAGAGGACAGAAAATCAATTTCCGGGAACGTTTTCCAAGTTTATGGTGCGACGGTATCCTGGAATACAAAGAAGCAAGCAACTGTAGCCCTGTCGTCAACAGAAGCGGAATATGTTTCCCTTAGTCAAGCGATGTGTGAAGCAATATGGCTGCGTAACTTGCTGTGCGAATTTGGTTCTACGTTCGAGCATCCCATACCAATATTTGAAGATAATCAATCTTGCATTCGAATAGCTGAGGAGCCCCGAGACCATAGACATATGAAGCACATAGATATTCGATACAACTTCATGCGCGAGAAGATTCAAGAAGGTGCTTTCAAGATAATGTACGTACCGACCAATGAGCAAGCAGCTGATATATTCACGAAGGCCTTGCCAAGAGGACCGTTCACATTTCTTCGAGAAAAGCTGGGATTGTTCGGTTGAGCGGGGATGTTGAGTAGCAACCGATCAACTCTGTCCAAACAACAAGCATGTAGCAACCCATGAAGATTCGTGTCACTAATTTATTCATTCCTTCACAAACCTTCGTTCAATAAAGAAGTTCTTTTCCAATTGCTCTGCCTAGTTTATTACAATTCACATGCGCATGGCGCACTTCAATCCCTTCCCGACGTAGAACTCACTCTTCAAAAGCAAGCGCGGGAATTCCTTTACGAAGAATGGAGCTACTGTTCAATTTCCAGCTCTTTGCCATTTCCTAGAACGGTTGTCCGAAAGCAACTGTTTTAAGCTGACAGAGCGTTGGTGGTTCCTGCCGGTGACGCTTCCCAGACGAACTTTAAATGATCTTTATTTCTTATATTTGTGTGGTTTACATGCATGAATTATCATGTGACACAGATGCGTCTTTTCAACTTTAGTTCATTTGAAATTTTGAATTATTATTTAAAGTTCGTAGTCCTATCAGGCCTGTTTTAGAGAATGACCACCTTGGTGGTTAGGTTAGGTTATCTTTATTAGCGAGACTTTCTGGTTCAGGTTCATCTCTTCAACATTGGTGGGATTGGTTTGTTTTAAATTGGAAAAAGGAGACTACTTATAACTACTATTTACAACTACAACTAACCTACAACCACCGACGAAAACTACTATATACAAATTGCTTATCAAAGAATGTTCTGATGTGTTGTATTTATGCACAAACCGAAGACAACAAATCAAGATCTTGATATGATGTCTTCGCACAAACGTAGTTTTAATGTCATGAATTTTAAAATCAATTTTTTTAACGTTCGCTTCTTGCTGGAGGTCTGAGATTCTTGTGTCGAAGGGACAATCAAGGGCCATCCTCAGCACTCTATTCTGAGCATTATTAACGACCTGAATTTTGTTCCTATGAGTCTGTGCACATGATTCCCACACCGGAGCTGCGTAGAGGATCGCAGGTGCAATAATTTGTTTGTAGACTGCCAGTTTGTTCACCTTTGAGATTCGGGATCTGCGGCAAATCAGCGGATACAGACACCTAACCAAGACGGAACACTTGATTACGATTTTCTCTACATGCGAACGGAATATGAGCTTTTCGTCAAACAACATCCCGAGATAGGTTACTCGGCGGACCACTCAACCCTTGTGCCATCCATGATTACTGTACATGAGGGAGCCGGTTTTACTTTGGGCGATTTCCGATGGAGGAACATGATTGTTTGTGTTTTGGAGGCATTGATTTTGATTTTCCACGTGGTGGCGTCAAGGCATCGTTGGAGCTTGTTTGCTACCCTTAACGGCTATTGCGGTATCATTTGCGAACAGGAAGAACACGCAACCGTCTCCGAGTCGAGGAATGTCAGAAGTGTAGTTACTGTAAAGCAGAGGGCCAAAAGGACTTCCTTGCGGAACACCTGCTGGGATGGAGACCCGAGCAAAGTCGGTTAACAAAATGAAAGCAAATCGATATTAAAGATTGCAGTTCCTATCATAATGAATACTCATTTTGATTACAATTGTCACGACATTAGTCTGATATCATATTGTGCTTTCATTATGCAGTCAAGACATTTAAAATGAAAGCAACTTAACTTGAAGTTCTGCTGTTAACGTCTTGTTTAAAATTTAAGTTAAGCTTATCTGTCGTTGAACTAACGATTATTGTTTAATTGTTTTGTTAAACACATTTTAGGTCATTCGTAACCAACCCGAGGTGACATTTGAGCTCAAGTCTTTCAGCGTGAGAAGCTTGGATGCTAACCATTTATTCAGTCAAACATTATGAATGCAAAATCAGTAATCAAATTGATTTCATTGAAAGCAGGATTAGTTTTCCGTTTGATTCAACAGTGTAAAATTTTGCTCTCATTTTTGATGTGTTAACCGTTAAGTCAACCAAATTGAGATCAAATGGAGTATTCAAAATAAGTTACATCATAACAGCAAATTCTGATTTCAATTTGATCTCTAACTTTGCTCGGGGAACGTGTTTGAAAGGCAGCCATTCAACGATATGAGAAGTGCATGCAATTATGACAAGAAATCTAAGGAATTTGTGAGGAGAAATGCAAAATAATTTTTATGAGACTTTTAATATGAGTAGAATTCCAGAGGAAGGAGTGAGATTTAAAAGGAAATCTGAAATAAATTCAATTAAAATTTTGAGAATCTTTCCAAAGGGTTTCTAACTGAGAAGTACTTCAAGGTAATTCCAAGGAAAATTAAAAGCAAATTGTATTCGGAGGATAGTTCCAACGAAATTTTGAAGAATTTGTCAATGGAATTGAAAGAACTATTCTATGTACACTTATTCTGGCGACATTTTTCAGAGAAATCAGAGAAGCGTTCCTAGTGAATTTCTAGAATAACTCCATGAGAGTTTCGGCAGAATAGAAAGCGAATGCTGAGAAGAGCTCGAAAGGAATTTTTGGAAGGCGCGATCAGAGATTTAATGCTTCAGAAAATCCCGACGACGCCGACTGGGATTGAATCCAGGCTCTTTGGAGTGAGAGGCAGTTATGGTTACCACTACACCACCGGCGCTGCTATGCTCACAATAATTCTCATCAAATTGTTTAAACTTTCTTAAACTTTAATCACATTTTAACGACCTCGGAGTCACTTTCCGAACAAACATATTGTTTCAAATGTCAAGCGTTAAGTTATATCGAAGTTGCCTTATATAGATGTATGACTGTAGATTCAAATGGTTCTAGCCGACTACGACGTACACGCATTAGTATTGTAGCATTCAGTGGAATTGATACATCGCGCGTCCTTTCGATTTTTTGCACAATATTTCACGCGGCCTTTGCTTTTCGAAACGAACGACCAGAGATACTGGTTTTCTAAATTGATTATGCCATAACACTCTGGGCGGGAAACGGTTAAGAGTTTAAGTTAGCTTGGAGGTCCAACGCTGGATGAAGTCGGTAAGTTGCGACACTACTTCGTCATACTGCACTTAGCTTCGGCACATTCCCGTTAAATCGGTAAATCGACATCCTCGTTTAATTTATTTTACATCAGTCTTAATTTAAATCGCGAGCAAAGAATTGTTTCATCTAGAAACTCCGTAGCCACACACTATTCAAACATAATCAGGGCATTCTCTACTTTCTAATTCATCGAACATCACAAGTTCCAGTACATCACTTCTCTATTACCAGCCGTTACAAACCACCCATCTACCGATGCTTCGCCTCATACTCTTCCTGCGATATCAGCTTCTTTTTGATCGCTTCACACTGTTCCGGTTTGGGCATGACAACAGCCACATATCCATCGCCTTCCTGCCGGAGTAGATCCAAATCCTGAACTACTCTTTGATTCACTTCAACCAACTTCCCCTGTACACACCCTCGCACCTTGTACACACTTCCATCCTCACAAGTAACCAGCGCCAGTGTGGAATCCATCTGCAAGATCATTCCTCCACTTTTCTTCTTTCCGCTCACCTGATTATGGCTGCGATCTATCTTGCCCACCTCGAACGTAATTGCTTTAATCCCTTTTTCAAACGCTACATGGCCCGGCGCCAACCCAATCAAACAAATCCGATTCGAATGGAACAGAACCTGGTGTGGTTCATTCTCCTTACCCGACTGGACGCAGTAGTAACGGGTGAAAAAACGATCCACTGTAGAAGGATAATCCTCCACGAAATCTTCTACAATCGAATGAACCATTTCCCCACAGATGGTTTGCGGTTCTTCCTCCAGGTAATAGCGTTCCAATTCAGTCATCTTATCTTTTTTTACATAGAATGCCGGGCTTTCTCTTCGTTTTCAATCTGCTTCATCCGTTCCTGAACGCGGCGATGTTTTTCTAGCGATTGCTCCCGATTTTTCCGGCTGTTCTCCTTCCGCTCGTTTCGCAGGCAAACGACCACCTGCTGATCGAAATCGTTGCACACTCCTAGGAATTTAGCGTACTTTTTCTATGGAAGGTGAACATTGAATAAGATCGCCGGGTACTGATACAGAAACATACCTCTTCGTGACACCTTTTGAGCAGGTCAATCAGACGATTACACTCTGGAGTGTGCAGATGAGGCGATAGATCAGAATGCATCACTTACTGAGAACAGAGAAGCGATTCTGTTTCTGCAATGGCAATAACAATAATTAGTTGTAATCAAAGTTAAATCAAAAACAAAATTGTTACACAACATGTACAGAACGATCCTGCGCTACGGTGTGAAGATGAATGATTTTTTTTAGAGAAGAAAAATAAAAAAAGGATACGAAATGTGGTTTGGAATTGGAAGAAACGTCAACATAAGTCAAGAGAAAAAGAGAACAGCAAAAAACAATCTGGACCACGTTCACGAACTCCCTGCACTTTAAAAATATGAACACTCTAATTTGGAACTCACAATACACGCTATTTAAAAACTCCCAAATGTGGGTAGAATTCTCCCAGATCGGTTTTTCGTATTATTAAATTGTTGTACGGGAGAAAAAACAACGAGATTCAGCAAAAAAAAATCCGAGATCTCAGCAAATCAGATTACCGAGCACTCGGCTGTGCAAATCTCGGAAAAAATTGCCGAGATTCAGCACAAAAAAAAATAAGTGTGTAGAAAGCGGTTAATACCTTGTACAGACATACAAAGTTCACTGTTGTACTGCCGTTGTACTGCTTTAAGCTAGTATTACAAATTGTACGTTTTGAGGTACTTGATTAAAGGAGTACAACGGTACTAATTTGTATGTCTGTCTGTGGTATAACGTGGGTAAACCATAGAGGTAACTCTAAGACCACTGGGTCCCGAAGAAAATCATTATTATTTTTGGCTCACTCAGTACCAGAACAACGGTCCCAAGCAGTCCCAAGCTATTTCACTCACCCCTGCATGTTCTGCATGAATCCACACACCCCTGATGTTATCTGTCAAACTTTCATAGCGAATCAAAACAAACATAGTGTAGTAATAGAATTTCAACTAGAATAGGGTACGTTAATCGTTTGCTTGGGACCAATAGGCTACTAAAGTGGTGAGCCAATTTAAAATCGTTAGTTTCGTATTGATTGTTGGGTAAACTTCGAGGGGGGCGACAAATCTAAATCTCAATTTTAGATGCTCAAAAAATCTCACACTAGCGAATCAATCTTCGAAAAATCTTCTTGCATTTCTCGCATCTACTTGCATCGAGCATCATCTTTTTGCAGGAAATCTTCAGAATCGTCATCAATCTTCTTTCTATCTACTCAGCGTGCGAGTAGCTAGCCACAACACAATACAATCTTTCCTGTTTTGGAGGCGAACCAGCCCCAGGCTGAAAGCCTCCCTTATTAAGATAAATCAATCAATCAATCTTTCCTGCAGTGTAGATAGAGTCGTTCCCCTCGGTTAACTTTCAAAATAAAAGTAAGCCTGTCAAATCAAACGTAGTCCACTTTTTTTTCTCCCTTTTTTTGGCATAGACTTTTGGTCCACATTTAAGTAGTCCACTCCTTGAGTTCACTCCCTACCTTTAAAAGTTTAAACTTTCAAAATAATTTGTACCACTGTCAAATCGAAAGCATCACAGTGTTGAAATTAAAAGTGGATTATTTTTGTTCCGAACAAGCTTTTAACATGAAAGTTCCTTACTGTTACAATGATATGTACCATTTTGATTTAAAAAAAATCACTATTTTCAGTATGAATACCAGCATTTTCAATCATAACGACAACATTTTTCATTTTAAATTCTATAGATTACACAGCAAAAAAAGTTGTTGAATATTACATCGAAACTGCTGCAACCAGGTCAATCCATCGATTGTGTAATATCACATTGTACGATGTACACAGAATCAAATGATGTGACACACAAAACCGATGTAATTTTTCTGACGTAATATATGTGATGTACACAGATGCGATGTAAGTTAACGAAGCGATGTAATAGTGATGCGATGTAAAGAAAAAACCGAGGAAAAAACGATGTATATACGTATACGTGGCTGATTAAATTGCTTTGCTATCTTTTTTCTCACATAAATTTTAATCAGTTGTAAAAACTGTAGTTACTCAGTTACAGATTACGGCTTCCTCTGGTACTGCGTGGAGTACTGCGCAGTGTTGGTCGGCATGAAAGACTTCCAGAAAGCATAACGACTAGTCTCCGCCGTGTTGAAGGGCTGACCACCGGGTGGTAGGAGCCATGGACCATGGACAATCAGCGTTCCTACACACAAATAACAAAAATTGTTGCTATAAAAATAATGCAATTTCAAAATAAAAGTTTTCTAAATTTCGTAGTTTTAACTGTGAAAATTTTCAAAATGAAAGTTATATCTTTGGTTTGAAAGTGTTTCTTTCATTTCTGACTTGTAATTTTAAAAGTACATTTTTTAAAATAAAAGTTGTTCAGCTATCAAAAATACCTCTTCATAGTAAAGTTTTTGGCAGCACTGAACTCCACTTAATTTACCGCCAAATTTGAGTTGGCGAGACGAGGAAAACAAATCGTTCTACGGAAATCAAATGCGTGGAATCAGTATTTGATAGATACCTCCGGTGAAGGTAGTACCAAAGATGAATACTAAGATGAAACTGTTGGAAGAAAAACTTTCTATTTTAGTGTCTTCTTTCACGGTCCCTTTCATCCAATGAGAACCCCCCGTATTCAAGGTAATTTTGTGATTTTGCTGCCCCCTCGGAAGAGATGAAATTTTGCGCTCATTTTTATCAAAACAATCACACCAAAATCAGAGATGTCCCATTTTTTAATTACTCGATTAACAACTAATCGATTATTTTTTGTTCGCTGTGCTGCCATTTTTCCACCAGAGAGAGTGCAGCACATGTTTGAAACGATCGGTGATGATCCTGTGGAGATGTTAATGCTTATATCGGCATGATCTAACCGATTATAAATAGTTTACTTTTCGGTTCGTTAATCGATTAAACGATTATTCGAATGAAAATCGGACATCACTAGATGAATGTGAAACGTCATTTCAAATATAAGGCCGTTCATAAATAATGATACAATTTGAAAGGGACCGGGGCTAATCACAAATTACGTCTCGATGGTAACTGAAATAAACACGAGTGTTCACCGGTTGGTAGTACAGTGGTACTTGATTGTGATTCCACCGCTACAACAGGGAATGATAGGTGAGTTGGATTTTTGTTTTTCTTAGGATCGATTAAATTTATTTTTACATTGTAGCTACATTGATCAGCCCGCTAACTCTTGGCAAACAAGCGTTTCCGTCGGGTGGTTCCTGCTTGTCACCGTATACATCACTGTCATCATCGGCCAACAAATCCCGTAACAGTGTAAAGCGTCTCTCTTGGAAGAAAATACAATCTGCGCAAAAAACCCCGTAACATTGCACCAAACCCATCATTCCGGAATCTGACAGCCGATGGTATGTGGATGTAGAGCGGCTGAACAACAACACAATGATGTATGAATTATCCTGGACCGTTAGTGATCTAGTTCGGGTGGTGGTCGTTTCCAGTGGCAGGTGGTGTTCTCTCATCGGTGTTGATGGCATTTGAATCCTAGGACTCAGACGAAATCTGCACTGGTCTCAAAAACAATGATGTATTTTCATTTTCTATACAAATTATATGAATAAAGACAATTTTTATAAACGGTACAAATATGAGTAAGGGTATTTGTCTTTAATCTTGAAAACTAATAACCTGATAATATTTCAAATTTGAGATAAAACATATATTGTCATGATAAAAACAAACCTTTTTTATTTGAAACATTTTGTACTTTATTTTAAAAGCATTGGTTTTTCATTTGACAGTTCTACAATTTGATTCGAAAGCTTCAACTTTTAAAATTAACGAGGGGCTTAACTTTTGATTTGACAAGCTACACATTTTTATTCTGAATGCTTCGGACTTTCTACCAAAAAGAACCAACGAAAACTTTTAATTTGACCAATGGTTTTTTTAATTTTAGAAATGATTATTTTTTGTGTGTACTGAATTCGGGTCAAGTAGAAGGTACAGCTAGCTGGATGGACTTCCTTCGGCACTGCGTGAAGCACTAACAGTATTGGTCGGAATTGAGGGTTCCTAGAAAGCATGGCGTCTCTGCTTAGTTAACCGTCTGGTTGAAAAAATCTCGTCGCGGATGTTCTGCAAAGATAGAAGCGAAATCGTCGATAAATCAACTAAAATTTGTAAAAATTATTTCAACTTACAGGTTGCGGCTTCCTCTGGCAATGCGTGGAGTACATTCACTCCCGATCATCCAGAACGAAGTCTGGCAGTGTTGCGAGATTTAATATAGCATCAACATTATATGATATTACACAAATTTTGTGTAATATTACACAACTATTTTGGAATGACTTGGTTGCATCTGATTCTGTGTAATAATTATGTCATTAATATGTGAATATTACACAGATGCAACGTAATGGACAATGGTAATTTTGTTTCGGTGTAATTTAAAGAGCGATGTAATATGACATCCAGTTGGATGTTATTATACATCTACTTTTCTTGATTACATCCGTTTTGTTGTACATCATGTGAATTACGTTGATGCATATTACATTTTTCTTGCTGTGTATCAAATTCTTATTTTTTGATTCAATTCAATGTTCAAAGCATATAATTTTGTTTTAGTTTTGCATGTTTTTACTGTTAACATGAAAACCCATTTCTTAATGGTTAGATAGACGTAGTATAGCAGCAGTCAGATTTTGAACTGCATTATCTATGTCTATTGTGGTCCAGGACGGAGGAAGAAACTCAGCAAACTGGTGGTTTCGCTGAGGACATGCTCTATGCGGGAAGCAGCCCACGAAGTGACGTTGATCTAATCTAGAATGGTATATAGACTTCTCTGACGTTTATGAATTGCACAAGTATTAGTGCAGAGCTTTGGGTAAATTCAGAGGTTTTTTTGCACTAACACTTATGATTTATTCCAAGTTCTGCACTAATACTTTTATATTTCACAAACGTCAGAGAAGTCTATAGAAATTATTATGAGTGTGAAAGTGAGGGTTTTCTGAAAGAATCTAGTCCACGCAGGGATAAATCAACAATCAATACGAAACTAACGATTTTAAATTGGCTCACCACTTTAGTAGCCTATTGGTCCCAAGCAAACGATTAACGTACCCTATTCTAGTTGAAATTCTATTACTACACTATGTTTGTTTTGATTCGCTATGAAAGTTTGACAGATAACATCAGGGGTGTGTGGATTCATGCAGAATATGCAGGGGTGAGTGAAATAGCTTG